TTCTACCAGAGTTAGGGAGGAGGAACATCTGCTGGAAACAAGCAAAATAGTCAAAACGGCAGACTAATTGCTGGCCTTCAGTCATTTCTAGGATTAGTACAGGGCATGTAAAAATGGTGAGGCAGTAGCTTAGAGCAGGAACATGAAAAGGGACTGTATGTTAAATGGTGAGGTTTTGAGAAAGAAGCATTTTTCACCATTAAGGCAGTCATAAAATATAATGCAAAATGGTTTGAAAACATTTTTTCTTAAATCTCAGCACCATTTAAAGAGGTTTCCAAAATGAACATGCAGTGAACAAAGGTGCTCCTGTGTCTCACAAGAGATGTGTCCAGCTAAAAATGCACTACATAAAGTTTCAGAAGAAAGTAAGGCAAAGTGGGCTTATTTACTCATATAAAAGATTATTGGTTTCCTGGGATAGTTATACCCTTGAGATTACAGATAGCCTAACCAGCGATCACCTTTATGATTCTGAATTTAACATTTGTCTTCTTTTTTTTTTTTTTTTCCTGGCAAGAATCATATTGCATATATAATATATATGTTTAAAATTAAGTTATAGGAATAAATCTACAGCTTTTGTTTTTTTTGAGAAATTCTGAAATGTTTAGAGATGATTGATCAAGATGATAACAGTGTTCTCAAAGAAGGAAAGGGAGCTGAATTCCTGAATTTGTGACTGCGTGTGCACACTGCATGTGCTATGACACACTGCATGTGCCACACAAAGCCCCAAGAAGGAACTCTGCTGTCTGGGTGAAAAGGAAAAGGGAGAAGTCCTAGGTGCCATGAAGTGGCAGGGCAAGGGTATAGGGAGGTGGAAAGTACTGCTATTAGCAAAAGGGAGTTTCCTTGGAGGACTCAAGATGGGAGATGACCAATGGGAGACGTCATAGGTAACATGAAACAAGAGCCTCAACTAAGAGAGAAAGATGAAGAGGACAAGGGTAGATGTGTGTGTCATTGGCATGAAGGAGAGCACTGAAGCTGTGCATGGCAGTGAGCTCACCAAAAGGTATTGCCTGTGACTACAGGAATGGGGAAAAGGATAACCCGACAAAACGTGACAGGAGGGTGGGGTTCAGTTCAAGATGAAGACACCTAAATGTAGTAGTCTGTCTATGTACAGGTGTTTGCACGTGAACCAGATATCTGTGCTCTCTAATTGTCAAAATAGAGCTGATATTCACAGTCAATGAAGTTTAAAGGCAACTCGGCTCACCCTAAATAAGCACCTATATTTTGCAGTCAAGTTGGTGGGTGTAGAGGAGATGGAAAGACAGATGACAGATGAATGCTAGGTGAAATCAGAGCTTTATTTATAGTCTTAAGCCTACTTGTATTTGGAAACTAAGAGATAGGATAAAGGAGGTTGACATAAAAAGAAAGGGAGGGTTAAGAGTGACGGAGACTACCGATTGGGATGGATTAGTAATGAAGTAAGTGAAATTTGACATCTCTGATCCCAGGAAATTTCAACAGCTGTTTAATCCCCAAACTGGATAAAGTAAATGTTCACTTTTCTCCAGAATGGAATGTTTCCTAAAATTAATTAAAGAATTTGAAAAATTTACTACATTTCTTAACCAAAAATGAACTTTCTCAAACCTGAGATATTTCATGTCATTAAAGCTGTACTGCCTTTCAATATTAAACGACATTTTTTATTGCCTTATGGGACTTGTCATTCTTTTTCACATTCTCTCCCAAAGAACAGACTCTGTTGGTAGATCACTCACATAATATACCTGTAAACATGCAAATCCTGTGAGTCTGCTATGTAATATGACTTTACAGAAAATGTAGCAACCAGGGAATCTAGCTCACAAAAAAAAGGAGGCAGAACTTTAACTTCTATAGTACTCTACAGATAAAAACTGGTTAACCAATTTTGATGTGGGGGGGGAAAAAAAGGAAACATTTAAAAGAAGTATTCCAATTCAGAAAACCCAAATATTTAATTCATATTTTCTGGAGAGAAAACACAATTATTTTTAATAAAGTCAGGATTTTCTGGAGGAAATCAGAAATGTGTAAGAAATTCTAGTTCTTATTGAAGAATTGCCAGCTATTTCTGCTTATTGCTATTATGAAACTCAGGTAGGCACCATACAAACAGAGAGTAAGAGGCAATTCTTGATTCAAAGATGTGCCATCTAAGTAGATCTGACAGAGCAAAAGTTGAAGTAATTTGCTGAAACTCACACAGAAGTTCTATGACAGAGACAGAAATAAAGATCAGGCCTTAAAACCTCCTGACCTACAAAGGGGTTTAGAGCAGTGGGTGTCATTAAAGGAAAACAGAAAGAGTCCACAGCGTGGAGGCAAAGAAAGCTTGACTTGGTAGAGCTTGTCAATCTCTTGGCAAAGGCATGTGAAAATTTTTCCAAGAGGAGGGATGGGCTGGAAGGTTGGTTCAGATTTTGCAAAGAGAAATGAGCAAACACTGGGACTTGCAGATACAGAAGCCAGAGAAAATGAAGAAATCATATTTGGCAAGGAGTATTGAAGAGCTGAAAGTGGAAGAGAGGAAATGCCTGGTGCAGAGGGGGCCCTCAATATTGCTAGCCCAGAACATCAGGACTCAAATATTGTGTGCTGCTTGGACGTTGTCTGGTGTGGAAGCTGTGTGCTGGTGGCAGAATGAAGAAGAAGGATTTATCAGGATTTGCACTGAAAGGAGAACACAAAAGTTGGGTTGTTCAAAATGAAAACCTGATTGCAGAATCAGATAGGTGATAAGGACATCATAATGTATCTCAGTGAATCAAAACAAGTTTCAGATGTGACAAAATGAATGTCAATGAAAAACACAAGTTATGCTGATAGCGATAAAGAAGCAAGGTAAGTATCATTTCCTATCTAAACACTGATGTCTTTCTAAAATTTTGTATCTCTGAGTAAAATGTGCCAGAATAAATCATAAAGTGTAACAGAAAAGATGTTTGGCATAAAAAACATCTACCAAGCCATAGCTGAAAAGCGTGTGAAATTAATCCTTGATCTTACAAAATCCTTGATCAAAACAAAAATTCTGTATCTCCATGTGCTATAACAAACTCCCTGGTGTTGGACCTCAATGGCAAGGTACAGTCATTTTAAGGCATATTAGACTTTTTAAGAACCTTTTCTTCTGCAGCTATTGGATTAAAAAAAAACCCAAAAAACACCACAACAATTTTTGAACAACCAAAGAACCTTAGAAGAAGAGAGGATGTTGCAGGAACAATCTCTGAAAGAATAGAAGATCTCTACCTAAAGTCTTTTATGCTTCACTTCAAGTACTTTGCATTAATGAGATGAGCAACTCTTAAAAGAACAACATGACCCAGCATACTATAGTAATTCAATAATCCACTAGTCATATAACTACAAAATAATGCTGTTTCTTTCATGCACCGATCTTCATTTTAAACTGTTCCAGGTATTTTGGTTTTTTTTTTTTTAATATTTCAGTACTTATTGTGATCTCAGTATAAAGCAGCTAACAGGAAAAGAAAAAAGAAAAAAAAGTAACACACATTTTCTCCAAGTAACTCTGTGATATGTTACTCCACAGATATTGGTGGATTTTTCTTCTGTTTTTTCCACTAGTATTCCTTAAGGATCAGGCAAAGATATAGCTTCATATAAGTAATGTGAGAGATTTATACTGCAAAACTCCTGTGCCCTTGTTTTGTTTCAGTAACACACTTCTGTTGTATTCACTGTAGAATTTACTCTGGGAGCTAGTGTTGTCAGTGCTAGAATAAGCATCACAAAATCATTCAGACATGTAATTTCTGATGTCAGAAGAGAACGTCAGAATTACTGCTGAAATAAGGAAGGGATTTTTGGAATATAGCAATCTTTCAAAATGAAGCCATTTACAAAAAAACCCAGGAACATTCTTTACCAAACCATTGACCCTGCATTTCATACAGCCAGCAACTCCTCAGTGACCTTTTTATCAGCCCAAAACGGCACTGAGTTTTCTTTCTGTTAATAGTATTTACAATAACCAAATTAATGTATTTTGGAAAATTTAAAATAAATCAGATGCAGTACATGGAAACCTATTAATACGTTTAAAATATTTAAAAATGCTTTGAATTAATGCACATAGCATGCATGCATTTAATCCTCTGTATCTCAAAATAATGAAATAAGTAGCAGTCTTTAGAAATCATTACTTCTTAACTGACTAATTGAACTGACACTGAACTATAAAACAATGAAAAAAAAACCGTCTCAGAAAAAGTTCTATTAAAATACATTTTTACTTTGGCTTTATTAAATGATTTTGATTACTGAAACTTTGCCAGAGAAAAAATAGAAAATATACTCAATGCATATAAGATAGTTCAATATGATCCGTATTATTTCATATCTCTGAATCTGTCAGTATAGTCATCTCTCCTGCACAACAGCTACAGCTCCTTTAAGCATCCTCAACATTATTTACGCTTTTAAATTTTAAACCATTAACAATGCATTACCCCCCAAATCCAGCCTTGAACTCTGACAGACACTGATCTCTTTTCTCCCTCCCACACTCTGTTTTATCAGACACTATTTTGTTTAAATTGGCTACTAAATAGCATAGCACTGTACCTTTAAATACAAATCAAACAATATTCATATTCCAACGGTGCTGCTAGTTTCCCTTATGCATTGAATCGCCTGTAGATTAAAAGCTCAGAATCTGAAAAGGGATTCTGTTCTGCAGACCAAAGTTCTCTGTAGGAGATGAGGGAGAGGGTCAGTCCCGGAGTCACACACACAACAGGCAGAAAACACACTTGTGATCCTCAGCTTTGGATAGCATCAGAAAGGGGAATAAAAAGCAGAAACACATGGCACACTGAGAACTGGTATCACTTATGGCTTCTAACCAAAGCAGCAATTAAACACCTTTCATCATTCCCCCAAATGCCTGATTTTTGTAAGAACTGAGAGAAACACACACACACAAAGGCAAATCCCCTCTGAGCAGCAACGAAAACTTAATAACCTACCGTTTTCTTTGCACTCTTCTGGAGGTTTAGCCTTTTTCGCAAGTCGTGGATCCAGCCATGATGTTGTCTTTGTGTTATGGCTGAAAAGAAAAGAGATCACTCTGAGCAGACACATACTGAAAGGAATCAAGTTTATTCCTTAAGAAAAAAGGGTTAGTCCAACAAAATTGCAATCGATACACTTAATTTGCTTACTGGTTCTAAGTAGCCCTGAAGGAGGTGTAAGAGTAATTGTGCAAGGCAGCTGTAAATTTGGCAACCTCAGCTCTCTGTCCTCAAAGCAGCTATTTTTATTAAAATCAACTAGAATGTTGCCAAGTTAACCTCATTGAAAATGCAGAACTCATCCAGAGCAAAAGGAATTTATTACAAATACAGTGTTCTCCCGTTGAACGAGTGCAGGCGACAGGATTCTGTACCATTCTCACAGTTTTCGGATAGAATTATTTTCATCCTAAGCCCGTCCTTTTCATAAATACAGGTTTGTTATTTCTCACCAGCAGCACTGGCAAGGCATAGCAAAAGTGATGCAAATTACAACATGCTCCTGCAAAGTCCACATTTCCGGACAGAGTGATTAATGATACTTTGTTTAACAAACCTTTATCTCTCCATATATAATCCTTCTATCGAGATAAAATAGATATGCACAAGCTGAATGAATCATGTGGCTCCTTTCTATACTCAGAATAGATCTTTGAGGAATCAGCCATCAAATAGCGTTGAACTGGCACAAACTGTTTTCTGGGAGAATATTTTGCCAAATGAATTGACACTTAGCACAGCTAATGAGACTTAAAAAAAGATCTTTTCAATGTATACCTTTCCCATAAGCATTTGAATTTGGAGCCAAATATTTTAAATATATTAAGAAAGGAAGACCATAAAACAGAAAAGGATGTGATCATTACTCCTTTATTTTTTGAGATGCCTTTCCTACAATACCATCATTCAGAGACACTTCTAACCCGTGTTTTATTTATCTGATACATCCTAGGAGGATGCTTGTTCCATACAGTACTGAATTATGTAGTTTATTATTAATTTGCTGTGTCATTTTAAAGTGTACTTAAGACTTCTCTTATAAACATGTGTAAGGTGTGCAATAATGGGGAACCTGTCAAAAAATGGATTAGGATGCAATTGGTAGTTGGTGAGTTATTGATTAACTGATACAGTCCATGTGGTCCAAACACCACTGGTTCCCCTAGGCAAAAATAAATGCCTAGAGCCAGCTCCTTCTCCCACCTTGACTCCCTGTTTAGTCCATTGCAGATAACTTTTCCTCTGCCTCAATTTCTCTCTCTCTCTAAAAACACAGTGATACTACCTACTTCTCAGCATTATTGTTACCATGTTAAAGCTTCCTCTACATTTTGGATAGGAAAAAAGGTAAATGAGAGTTATGTATGGATAAAGTGGCAACTAAAATGAAAATGGAGGCATTTAAATTCCTATTTTAAGCATGCCCTAGTCTAGAACACCATTCACCACAGGTGAAGAGGATAAACAAAACCTTCCCTTACTTTGAGAGCAGGGCTGTATTTGCAGGGTGTGAAGAATGATAAGCCAAAGGTAAGGTAAATTTGAAACGATGCCAGCAGCCCGCGCTTGATTGCAAATGTAACTAAGACGCTTTCTCTGAAGCTCCAGCTGCCTGTGGTCTCCTGTAGGGTGTATTTTTATACTGCAGTCACTGCCTAACTGCAGCTTGTGCAGACATACTCGAGCTAGCTTTAAACTAACTAGGGGAGATACTGGCAACAATGTCACTGCAGCAGTATGGAGCCCAGCGTGGGCTCATCACCCCAGCATCTACTGAGCTACTTGGGTGCAGCCAGCAGCACAAGCTGAGCTGCACACTGTCATGGGTAACCCCTTAGCAGTGCCAGAGCTCGGAGCGAGCTTGGGCATACCTGTGGAAGCTGCAGTCACATCTCTGGAGTGTGGGCATGTCTGCACAACAGCCACTCTCTCCCAGTTCTGAATGATTTTAGGGACACCCACTGGTTGCAGGGACTCACAGATTCACAGATAGTTTCCTATGGCTTTAAAAGAGTAATATATATATATATATGACTACTATTGGTAATGTTTGCTGTGGTATAAAGTGGATCTCAAAGCATTTTACAAAGGAAATAAAAATCATCACCCTTGTTTTAAAGGTGGGAACATGGAGTCGCAGAATCATCAAGTGACTGTCCACAGCCACCAAACAAGCCAGTGGCAGAGTCAGTACTAGAAGCTAACTCTGTTGCAAGTCAGCTGGCCAGTGTTTTCCTCACAAGTCCACACAACATCAGAACAGACCAATTCACCAGCCCTGAAAACACCCCTATGACATTTCTAGAATAGACCTGAGAAATGAGTTTTCAGGCCTCTGTAAAGACAGGTGCCAAGCTGAAAATAAGCCAAATTCAGTATTAATGTTTAAAAATGTGAATTAGTTGAATTACAGCCTCCAAGGCTTTTGTTGAAACTGAGAACAACAAGCAGTTACGCTTCCCTTCAGCATAAATGCGGCTTCCATAAACCCAGAAGGACTGATGTCTTCCAGTTTTGTGCACTGTGGCCATTCTAAACAAAACCATAAATTAAAAAGTCAACAACTTTTCCAACAGAAGTGATCCTTCAGTCTGCAGAGAAATTTCAGAGAATGAAGATGGTATCTTCTCTAGATCAGTTCTTACAGCACTCAATCTCATCTAGTTACTGTCTCTCAAACCCATTCAGCTACTTAGTAAAAGCAAAACTCATCTGCAAGAATGAGTTATCTATAACAAATAACTGAAGGAGCAAAGTACCTTTTGAAAATAATCCCTCTTCTCCTTACCCACGTCCATGCCTGCTCCCTTGCCCTGCCTCTCCACTTTATCACCTATACTAAACACGCATGCTACGTCTTGCAATGGGACTTTAAATGCTTCTAGACTGGTGCTCCAGTGGGTAAAAAAGAAGTTCTTGCTCTGAAGACAGACCCTACCTGAAAGAAGGCAGAATTAACCCCAGCTGTATTCTAACACCTCTGTCTTCCAGCAAGGACTAGAACTGAGATTAGCCAACCATAGAAAAAAAGAGAGGCGGCTTCTTCCCCACACAGCTAGGACATGTTGGGAATGAGAGAAAGAACAAAAGCACGGTGGTGCCAGCTTGCTGAATGTCCCAGGGCAGGCTGCAGGGGCATCTCAGGAAAGACACCACGTCCCCTGTGTCCCAGGGCTCTGCCTATTCCCTCTTCAGCCAGAAGACTAGAATCTGTAAAAGCTGAAGGGAAACAATATTTAGCTCCTAAACAGTTTTTCATCTCATTTAAAAGAAGCCTTGGTAGGAAAGCTTTAACGATGGGAAAGAAGACAGAAGGAACAGTAAAATGGCCAAATTAACACCAATGGCAAAAGTAACTTTAGCACGTATTTGCTGCATGACCTGTGCACGTTAATGCTTCTTACGCACTAAAAACCTTGTAAAATGTACAGTGTATAACCTGCCTGCCTTACCACTAGGTCTAATGACGTGTGTCCATTTGGGAAGTCTTATAGACAGACCAGAAGGAGAAGGGGCTGGGGATTTACAGATTAGTTATGAATGAATTGCAGATGAATAGCAGAAGCAGTTGTGGAATAAATGCACAAACAGGCAGTCGGAGCAGTTGTGACTGTCTGAATGAGAGTGAAGTGATGCAACAAAAGCATCCTGTGAGAAATACAGCTGTGGCTCCACCAGCATTTTCCACTGGCTACTGTTTCATTACTCAGCAATTACCATATCTCATCATTAAAGGGCAGGTTTAGAAAGTCCATTCTTAAACAATTTCAATTATCTTAATTACTAGCTAGGACGATTGAGCTAAGTGCTGGCAAATCAACCATGCACGTCTTAGAATCTGTCTTAAAATCAAGAGCAAATACCTAATTTTGGAAACTTCAGAAGTAGTCAACGAAGGATCTCTTTGGTTTTGCTTCAAGCAGGTGGAGCATAAGAAGAGCTTAACATTTGAAAATTCATCCTAAGTTGTTACCTGCTGTACAAAATAGAAACCGCTTATAGGCCTGAAGGGTAGCGCAGATTTGAAAAATAATTGGGGGAAAAAAAAAAAGTCACTCAGTAAAGCAGCGGAGCTTAATACTGTAGCCAAAAGTCAATAAAATAATTATTGCTGAACTAACTTAAATCCTCCCTCTTTACCAAGTATTTACATCCAGCAGCAATAGTTTATTATAATCAGAATCCCCCGGTATCAATTATAGACAATTTTAAACATATGTGAAAAAAAAAAAATTCATCTGGTTTAAACAGAGTGAAAGAAAGCTCAGAATACTTCCCAGAAACCCTGACTCAGCCCCCTGTTCTTCTGCAGCTTTTCTTTGCAACTCTGCTTTTAAGACTTCGCAGAGACTGTTTATGTCCCAGTTCCCTGTTATCACCACTGGATCTAGGTACCAGGACCAGAGCCTCTCCAGAAATCTCACTGGATGCTCATCCATACCTTTAGGAAGTAAAAAACATTAGGCATGTGGCTTTTCTTATTTAACAATGTATTATATTTTTATTATAATTATTTGTTAGACAGTATATTATTTTACTTAAGATTTGAATATAATGGATTTGTTAGCAATCTGTCAGTTTAAAGCACTTTGACAGATAAAGTTTCTTGTACTAACAAAGCCCTCAGACAGTCTCTTGAAACATTTTTGAAGGGAATATAGAAAGTAGTTACTGACAGTAATAGCCTTAATGTCTTTTGAAAACACTGCAAACCTATTCTAAATTGTGACTCTTGCAAGGTATGTAATTTGCACGTTATTGTGAAAGGCATTTCAAAATGGGTGTTTACCAGCGTGCAGCTTCAGTGTATTTGGGGACAGCACATACAGGTTTGTTTGGGTTTTTATTGTGAATACATTACATTCAAGATGGTCCTCATTGTAACAGCTTGAGCAAAGGGGAGTATATGAGACAGAGGAAAACAACGTGCACTGTAGGCCACCTGACTTTTAAAATGCTTACTCCTACCTCCTTTTTGTATGCCTAATATTTGTAGATCTGCAGAGCTTTTCAGATAGCATAATAATGATTTTCA